CTGAAAAACTCTCTCATCGCTGTCTGTTAGTTGTGTTTAGTAAACAGCACAGTTCAACACTTCAAGTACGTATTTATATGTATGTCTTCTTTACTGCATATACGTCAATTATAAAAATCAGCCTTAGTAACCCATGCACGTCCGATGGTCGGGTGTTTGGCTTAAATAAAATAAAAATAAAAAATTCAAATTCATACACACGGATCTCTACAGTTTTTAAGGTTGCACGCGGAACAAACAATTATATTATTAATATATATATATATATATTTATATAGGTACGATAATCCCACTCTTATAACAATATATCTGACCAGATTAAATCCAAATTCAAGGACTTCCACTTAAAAATATAATATACCTACTGTACTGTTGCCGCTACACTCGACCGAAGGAGCCAAATTTTTTAACCTCGGTCCGAAAACCAAGAACAGTCGCTCGAAATCACTACTACGGTTAGCTATAAAGCGTATGGATACTGTACACAGTATTCCTTTTAAAAACAAAACAACAAAAAAATGATTCAATATAAAAGATTAAAAGTCTAAACAATACTTCCTCGTCAATGTAAAAATATTAGGTACATGTGTGGTGAAGAATCAATTAGTTTTACTAAGATATGGTTTTATTTCTCAGGAAAAAATTGTTTGATTAGTAAAAATGTTAAAAAAATATTTTTCACATTTCCCTTGGTAGTACTTTATTTGAATAATTTGTCTAAATTTTCAACAGTTTATTTTTTTTCATTAAAAAATAAGGTAACATGTAACAATACATTGGTTGTATTTTTGTTAATTTCTGCGTTACCTTTAATTTACAATGGAAATCAAAAAAGTATAATAATCTTTACGAATTTATTGAGTTTCGTTCAGAAATGTTTTTTGTTTACATTTATCGTTTTTTTCAGTATTTAAACCAAACGACCTGCAACCTTCCCTTCTCTACTTCCCATCTATAACAGTGGCCACTCGTAGGGTGCGAAACACCATTTTATTTTTCGATTCTTCATTTCCACTTGAAATTAATAATATTATTATGTTTTAAAAATAATCAAAATTTGCATTAGTTTATCATATTTTTGTGGCTTAATTTTTTTTTTTTAAATCTTCGAATAAAAAATAAAACAAATAATAAAAAATGTTTGTGTAAATACTATTAATATGTTTAAAAAATTGAACTGAATTTTTGAAAGTCATAATAATTGGAATAATTGAATAATTGAATAATTGAATAATAATATCATTGGATTATATAACCTGTTTATTCAGTTTTTTTTTTCAAGAAATTCTAACTAAAATAATTATTCACATTTTTTTCGATCAAAACTATAGAAAAAACTTTAACACTATGGAAAAAAATAGAAAAAAAATTATTGCAGTATCAACATAAAATAATCTAATATTATTCGTAAACTACACGATGACCTACGCGGTAACACACCGTATCGAAACAATTCCAAGTTCGAGAGAAATACGATCCGTTTTTTATTTCTTATTGTTTCAAGAATATTATAATAACAATATATTTATTATACATTTAACAAGATCTGTACAATTTTAATAATGTATATATTATATATTATAAAGTACATACAAAATTTAAACTACAGTTTAAATATAATGTATCTCATACCATTTTTATTTATGGTGTTAGATTTTTAATATTCTTCCGTAATGGACTACGACACAATTATAATAATTTAAATTATTATTTTAAAAATAGTAAACGTAGTACAACAATTATTAAAAACAACCCACTATATAGGTATCTCGGTATATGAAAAAAACTAATCAAATTAATATTATTTTTTTTTATTTTATCGACATATTTAAGGAAAACATTTCGGTTTTCTCTTGCATACGATGTAGTGTTTACTTTCAAAATTGCATTACTGCTACACGAATTAAAATTAAATTATTATTACCATTACAACATACACTAGTCGTATCTCGTTTAAAGATATATAATAACGAATAGACATTTTTCGATTATATTTCCGATTTGTAATAAAATAATTTATAATAATATGCCACAGTATACGCATAAATAAAGAAAAAGAATACCAATAGCAGCAGATGTGAAAACGGGAAAATGTCCCCATCTCCTGAGTTTTTAATTATTATGTACGCATATAATACATTATAATTAAAGAAGTTTATAGAAACGGTGATGTTTCATCTTTGCAGTTTAAAACACGCACCACATAGGAATTTACACGTGTTAAAACGCACAGTGGTCTGAATCGAAAATTACCAAGCGAAACCCTATTTTTAAAAATACAATAAATGTAATATTTCATATCAAGTACTCGCATATATGATCGATATAATTATTATAATTTAATTATTATAATTATTATTACTTAATTAATAAATATTTTATAATATGGGATCCTTTTATATATCTCTTCAAATCAATAAAACTACGATAAGTTCACAGAAATGTATTGGCTTATATCGCACATTATTCTGTATTTCACGTTTAGCTATTGATACAGTGTATAGTATTATGTGAGAACATTTTTTTTTTTTATAAAATATTTGTGTATAGACATGAATGGAGAAGAATGGAAGGTAAATAAATAAAAAATGTTATTTTTGTCTTGTTAGTATAATTTATACAGTTAATTTTAGATTCCGAGCGTAGCGAAGGAACTATTGGTTTTACAATGCTGTTTATTTCTTTGTTCTTTGTTCATTGTTCTAGTCTGTGGACACGTTTTTTCCTAGTAAACTTGCTCCGATTTTTACGAGTAGTAACTTTTTTGAAAGCCCAAGTTGTTTAGATGGTACTTAAAAGATGTCATTTGATTGTTTGATGACTACTAGAGAGGTCATTTTGATTTTGGACGTTATTTTTTAAACAAAAGCATTTAAGTGGGAAAAAACGTAGACAAATGTACAATTTCACAATTTCATTATTTTATAAAAACACGGACGACGTTTTCTACCAGAAAAATTGATTTAATCGAAAAATCATAAGACATCATTTTTCGTTGCCATTTTGATTTACTTTCTTACGGTATCATCGCGAAAACTTTTGAGATTTTAAGGAATTTTAATTTTTTGAGAGTTGTTTATTGTAATTCAATTATAAATACATGTAGAGACTTAAAACTTGGTAATAATACTTATATTGGACTTACCTAGACGTGGTAAAATTTCCAAAATCATTGGACGACTTTTTTTCTTGTTTTAAAAGCGTTTTGAAATCAAATTTAAACGAAAATCACAAAAAAAATTACGGCACTTCAATTTATGTATTACCGAACTGCGATCGGAATCGTCTTTCGTCAAACAATGGTTTTTCGTTCCTTACAGATATAAATTTATGTATCCTACCTTCCCAACTTCCCACCAACAATGGCTGTGGCTGCACCTGTCCCCAGAAAATTGGTGTGAGAAGGTACTTTAAAAAAGTCATTTTTCGATTTTTTTGGAGTTTTCTTAACAAATGTGAAAAACCAAAAAAAAAAAAAAAAAGGAAGAAACCGGGAAAACTATTAGTTAGGAAGGTATTAGTTAAAAATATCACGGCCTTTTTTTTCCTATGGAAATCTTTTCTACCAGAAATTTTGTTCCAACTTATAATGATAGCAATTTTTTTTAAAGGAAATTTCATTCCGGAGGTACTTTAGAGAGGTTATTTATCGATTTTCTCAAAAGTTTTTTCATTAAATACGACAAACAAAAAAAAAAAAAAGGAGGAAAAACAGGAAAATGTACAAAATATATTTGTATAACATTATAATTTTTTTTTTCTGTGGAAAACTTTTCTACCAGCAATTTTGCTTCAATTTATAATGATAGCAATGTTTCTGAAAGGAAATAGGACTGGAGAAATACTTTAGAGAGGTAATTTTTCGATTTTCTTAGGAGTTTTCATATTGTTGACATAATGTATCACTATCAACTAAACTTTGCTTAGAATCGTATTTTCATAAGCAATGGTATATTGTTGCTTACGAGTATACATTAAAACCTATAACCTAATTACCTAATTACCTATAACAGTGGCTGCATCCATCCTCATTATTCTAGGACGTCTTTTTTATTTTTATTAGTTATTTGATATTTTTCGAATTTAAAATTGTATACTAAAATAATTCAAATTATGTCATTTCAAAAATTCGTTTATTATATTGTATATACTCATGGGTATAACATATTATGTTTTATTTGTGTAAACTTGTGTAATAACTTGATATAACTTTTTTGACACTACAAAAAAAGGGATTTCAATAATAAAATAATATGCTATATATATAATTTATTTAATTTATTCCAAGGAAATTCACAATGTATACAGTCCAGAATATTTTAATTAAAAAATTCTGTGAAAAGAAAAATAGAAAAAATAGACGAAAATTAAAAACAGTGTCATATCTAGTTTTGCAATGAGCTGATCAAAGAGGTCGTCTCAATCTTCCAGAAATATTCACACATTTTCTAAAAATAATAATGGTAATAGCTTCAAACTATAGTGATAGTATTGATTACAGTATTGACGATTAATGTTATTTTCTTATATTTTTTTATTTTCTTTGATTATATAAAATTAATTAGTTTATAATTATAATTAATTTACATATATTAAATATATTAATATTTATGATTATATATATAATTTGATTTAAAAAATGAAAAACCACCTCTACATACTTAAGTAGAAACTGGTTTCAAAACTGATCAAAAATTTGGTTCAGCACCTTTCAAAATATATTATTTGATGTGAAATTTTCCAGTTTTAAAACTTAAAAAAACACCCTTTTTGCACTTTTAATTAAAGGGATGATTTCAAAATTTATAACAAATTTGGATTCCACCGGTGGTATGCTAATAGTTTACTAAGATACTTGTATAGTACCGTTGTACCGAAAATAATTGGTTGGCAAGGAACACCGTTAGTTTTTATTATTTCATGCAAATAAAATTCCCGAATATTACTTTTCCGATTTATACACCCACTCCCCCTCCTAAAAAAAATAAAAATATAATATATTATATTGCATCTATATTGGCTAGAATGTAATAACCAGAAATACCGGAATAACCGAAATTACCGAATAATTTGATAACAACTGCCAAAAATAATGAAAACTCAGGTAACCAGACAACAATCATACATTTGTAATATTTGCATATACGTACTTCTGTAGCCCAGCGGGCATTCCACCCCGCGGGACTTGTATTCCAGGTACAACCATCTCTCGTCCACCTCGTGGCACTCAGTCCTTTTTCACCACGATCATCTGATCCGGAAGAAGCAGGACGAGAGGTCAAGAGAGGCCAATCGGTGACCCACTGCCTAATTCTCTTACCAAGCAGCCAGATCGGAGAGTACCTCGTCTTCGCACTGCGAAGCGGCTCCAAACACGAATTCAGGATTCTATACGAACTGTCACGAAGAGCAAGGGCAGGACGAGCTTCCAGGGCGGCGAGTGACGAACACCGAGCTGGGAAGACTTGGCTCATAGGCAACGTAGTTAAGGTGGACTAAGCATCATGAATTTATAATTAACATCAACGTAGAGTTAAGTTGGGTTAACTTACTGTTTTTTTATTTTTTAGTTATTTCCGTATGTATATGAGCGTGCTCCGCGAAAGGAAAAACAGGTTTTGAATAAATTATTGTAATTTATTAATAAATGATAACAGCAGACGAAAAGTATTGTGATACAGATCTCCCACTGATGTTGGTTACAACCCAAAAAAGAATGAAAATATAAGGTGCCGGTATACCGTTTTATACCGGTATTTGCTTATAAATTATCAAAATATACCGATTACCAGTTTTATAATGTAGTATTCATTAGACCATGAGCACATCTCTGGAATGTACAATTGGTAATCAAAAATACAAGGGCAATGTTAGACTAAGATAAAAAAAATTTATCTAGATATAAATACCAAATATCTGTTCAGAATTCAGATCCATCCAGAAAATAGAAAATTAATAGAACGGAAATTATCTAGATAATAATAGATAAAAGAGATAACCATAATTTATTTAGATAAAAACAGGTACATGATTTCAATATTTGCTAGGGTAGGGCATAATAATAACCGGCTCAATAAGTAGAAAATTAGATTTTTTTTATTTGTATTGTTGCTTTATAGGCCATTGAGGCTTTTTATAGCTTATATTACGTTCTTATATTTATCACGGTCAATGGTTTTTTCAAGTTATAAATTTTTCCGTGCCGTCTACCATTTTTATATCTGCATTTATTCTCTCTTGCTATCGTTGACGAGGTCTTCCCTTAGAACGTTCGCCAGTTAATTTGTTAATCAGTATTTTCTGAATTATGTTATCCTTGTCATTTATAACCCGCCCATTCTAAACGCTTAGCTTTCAGAAAACATTTAATAATTGGTTTATTATATAGGGATTCCAAGATGGTATTTTTTCTTTTCATAGTTCCTAATTAATTCATTTTTCACAGGTCCGTATATTTTTGTTAGCACCTTCTTCTCAAATATAAAAAGCTTCTACTCATCTCCTTGAGCTGTAACCACGTCTTACAAACATGTCTCTATTGGTAAGCTAAGTACATTTTTGCCTATACCATCCATGATAACACTAAAAAACTTCAAACTGAAAATTCAAAGACGCTCCCTTTGATAACTAAGTCTCCCGACTATAATAGAATACTGGTTTACAATTTATAACAAGTAAACTCCATCCGCTTTTGTTAACATATGAGTTATTCGAATTTAAATAATCTTAACTAGGCTTTACACATAACCTTCAATCAATTTTACGCTGAAGAAGAAAAATATTCAATTATACTTTTTTCAATTCTCATAACACTTAAAATATTTAAAAAAAAAAACCCGTTTATTACTCCTTATCGTAGATTACTAATAGATCGTGTTCACCTTTTCATAATGAGATGTATGTTATAATACGGCCTGTAATGGCTTTAGTGTCGGTCCATGTTGACCTGGCAGCCGACTAATGAAGACCCAACAGCCAGCTCAAAGCTATTTTAAAATCTAGGGTTGGGCAAATGCATACTTCTGCCCCTCACCAAATGACACCCCTGGATAAAAACGGCTTACGAAAACAATAATTAATATTTTAAACCGTATTATATATAATTATATCAATTGTCAAACTATAATGGGTTTTATATTAATATGCGAGTAATAATATCTGTCTTTAAGTTTAATTTTGCATGCTTTTTTCATTTTTAGATTCGGAGCGTAGCGAGGGATGTATTGGTTTACTATGATGTTCATGTATTTTTTTAATTTTTTTTTTGGTCTGTAAATATTTATCTAGATACAATAAACGCGATGTTATTAAAAATGTAATCTATAGATGTGCTTCTTAACGCCATCGTAATGCGGGCGTTCACGTAAAAATGTAGACGAATAATAATAGTTAACTGTTCCGACAAAAAAACCGAATTCATCGTTTCGGACTATGTATGATATTGTACAATGGATTATGTAGGTACGTAAAATGATTACGGTAATGTACAATAGCTTCCTCGTTCCGCTCAGAGTTCAGAACCAGCCACACCGTGAACAACAATTTATTTTCACGTGTCTATAGATATTATAAGTATATGCATATATAGGTGCACTAATAAACAAAACACACTTCCCGAAGGTTTCGACAATCGGTTTCTTCCTTCGTCTCGTTCGAAACGCGCGCTACGTAGTATACGCGACATAGGCTTACGCCGCGACCGCCCGAGAGTTCGGGCCTTCGTATTTTTTTTTAATCGTTATCGTTGGCCTACACTAAATCCTACGCGTCCGTCGCCGCCCGTTAATCGGTCCGGTTTCGTTTGCGACGAAAATTCGACGGACCGGACGCTTATGATTAAGTATACCTACCGCACAGTATTATTATACTGACGCTTCACAAAAACTAACGGCGACTCAAAGTACTTACTAATACATACTAATGTATAATATCATCCAAATATTACAAAAATTAAACAAAATATTATAATGTAATACATCCAAGTGCTCGGATTGGAAAAGGAAAAGAAGAGGGACTATGAAACGTACAAAATATTAGCGCCCTGTGCAATTATTGAACTCGATATAATCCGTGGGAATATTCATAACCCAAACTCCTCTTACGCCACTTATGAAATACGATTAAATAATATTTAATAATTTACAAAATAAAAAAAAAAATTACAATTACAAAACCAATAATATTATATATTAGAGTAAATATTATTAATATTTGTAAATTTACTTATAAAATTGTTTATTATAATTTTCGTTAACTATCTAATATTAGTGTTTAGTTTTTGGTGAAATTACTTTTACGTCATCGCACGGTGCAAAAATAAAATACAGACAACTGACATGATAATGATTTAGTATTTATTATTAGATGATTATTAAAAAATAATAATTATAATTTATCTGGAGTTGATGGTACCTATAAGTTTTTTGAAAATACAGTAAAGGGGCGTTGAAAAAATAAAAGCCCACTAATCAATTCGACCACTGATTATACCAAATAATATATGTTATATAGTTCACCGACGGAATATAGCGTACATGGGAAAACGTGAGCTAGACCGCGGCTGCCCACTCACCCGCCGCAATTGCAGCGTGCGTAATGAAAAACCGGCGACGGTGGCGAGGTATAGTCAGAGCGGGAAAGAGGGAGTGCCTAGATTTGGGAAGTCGTCGTCTGGTCACCCCTCCCCCCCCCTTTCCGGACCGCTTAACGCAACGCTACTGACGGTCCCACCGACAACTCCGACCCCAGACAAAATTTGAACTCGTGACCCGCCGTTGGGTTAACCGTCGTCGTGTTCGGTCGTTCAACCCTTATTCGAATGCCCCCGCCGCATCGGTCGGTGCAATTTCCCTCATCCCCTCCCCTCACCACCCGAAATGTAGTGCGCTAGTTGAGCGGTTTTTGAAGACTTGCGCGTATACACGTGTCCCCTGCTACTCCCAGAAAAAGTTCATACGCGTTCATGCGTCTGGGAGACTTTTATAATATATATATATATATATATATATAGGAAGCGACGGTCACGCGTGGAACCGACGACGGGGGTGAACGATAGACGGCGGGTGTATGGAGGGTCGACGTATATACTCGGAACAAAGGCGACGTGTATATATATAACATTTTATTCCCGGGGTGTCGGCGACGTCGGTTTGGCGTCGAATCGTTGCGAACGAGGTCACTCTGAAGGTCGGGATGGGCGCGTTGATCCCGTCTGGTCCCCGGGCCCAGACCTACCCTAACACGCCAGACGGCGTCCCGCCGCTCCTCTCCTTGCACCACCATGCAGCGGCACAGGCAGCAGCCGCCATAACGGTACGCGCGCGTGCGCGCACGCGCCCGAAGCACGCCCGCTTTTACACACCCACTCGGCAGCGCATATTATATAGGTATATGTCGTCGACGTCGTTGCGGTTTGTTTACGCTCCCGGGCATCCCGCGTTATATTATATTTTTCGGCGGGGTAGGTAGTGTTCCAGACGCTCAGACATCCGTCGCGTCGACTCCACCCCCAACCCTCCCCTCGCCGTTTTTCCACGTCGACCGCGGCCTTCGGTATCGACGAATTTTTCGCATGCCCGAAATTCCCGGGCCACCGTCGTCGTCACCATATCACTACTGGCATCGCACAACCCATAGTGAAAACCGACGATGAATATTAACCGCCGTCCTTCCCGGTTTTTTTGTATTTTTGTGTTCATTTTTTTCTGCAATCGCAGATCGCACCACAACTGGCACACGGCGCATTTTCACGGGAGTTTTAATTTCGCACCCGAGTTTTCCCCGAAAATACGTTCGTCGGCAGCAGCGGCGGCGGCGGAGGCGGCGGCGATGCCGCTGTGCATTGTGCGCAACGATTTCGACAGCGGTCCGTACAAGGCCGCCGCCGCCGCCGCCGCCGACCGATGCACTGTCACAACGTGCGAATCGATACACGAAACGCGCACCTACGTGTATGTGTTTGTGTGTGTGTGTGTGTGTGTGTGTGGGCCGCACAACGAAATAATAATTATTACGTCCGTGAAAAAATATCGTGGACCACAAGCACGGGCGGCGGCGCTGCACTTTATTCGCGCATACAACGTACAGCAAAACTCGATTTCCAAACAGCCGTGCACATAATATTATTGTACAGTGAATAACTCGAAAAAATACACAACATTCCGTCATAATATGTATTTTGGCAATTATACCGCGGAATGCGTATCGAAAATGCCGACATATTGAAATAAGACGCGCCTATACGTCTAATACGCCTACGCCTAGGACATTTTCAGGTTTTTACGATTTTCTGTCAGATTTAGAAAAAAAAAAAGTCGGAAAAATAGGTTAGGTACATAGAGTTATATAAGTCAGTATCTGTATAGACGACGTACAATCATTAAACGAACGAAAAACGATATCTGCACGGAGCTCGGTTAATCAATTCTTGAAAATAAATTTTAATAAAACACATACAAATTTATGAATTGTTTAG